CATGGTATTTCAAGCAATCTATTATGGCTAAACTAGTCTCAGTTTCTAGAAAAAACTCATGGAAGAAGTGAAGACAAAGTAAAGAAAAACAACCCAGGTAAATAATAAAGGGCTCAGCAAATGATTTTTCATTTTGAGACAGGTGAGGTTTAGCTTAATTGTCCTAGAGAGTGTTTCTTACTGAGTGTTTTCATAACATGAGATGTGGCAGCTGATTACCTGGAAGTCAAACCACTTAAAATAATTGTGTGGAGAGGTGGAAAAAGAAAGCTGATACATGTTGTGCAATTTTTCACACAGATGATCTCATAAATTTAGTAAAAGGCAAATATCACAAACTTAGAGCAGAATTACCTCATTATACCAAATGAATAAACCTAACACTTAATCTTCATTATTTGGGAGGTACCCAAGATCATACTTAATCCCAGTTGTTTTTGCTGGTGTATTTTTGTCACAAAAAGAAAATTCAATCTGCTGTGACACAGAGAAAGCAAGACTTCTATTAGGACACACAGTGATTGCCTCAGCTAGAATACCTGTCCATTATGCACACATCTAGATTTGCAGAATGTAATCCGTACACTGCTATGCACTGTTTCCTGAAACAACTTCTAGAAGGAAGTTTTTTCTAAAATACAGTAAGGCTCTTGGATGGGCTCTCGCTGCACATTTACAAGGAACTAATGCTAAGTTCAGGGAAGTTCTTACTCTGGTTGTTGCAATGCACCTCACAGGTGATCTGTACTCTTCTTCCATTTTGGTCAGAGCTATGATGGTTTCAGCAATAGCATTCTTTGTTACACGTGACCAAGCTTCTGACAGATGGCCCTGTAAAGAGGAAACTCAATTTATTACAGCTTTTAGTAATACTACAAACAACTAAAATTGTAATTAGAGCTGCTACCAGCAACATTGGGTTAGGATCTCAAGTTAGAACAGAAAAAGAGAAAAATCAGGGATGACAGATCAGGTGTTTTCATGGAATGCTTTGGGTTAGAAAGGACCTTAAGGGTCATCTAGTTCAAATCCCCTGCCATGTGCGAGGACACCTTCCACTAGACCAGGTTTTTCAAAGCCCCATCCAACCTGGCCTAGATTTTCAGACATATATGGTAAAAATTAGCCCTCAAATACTCAGGTGACTGACTGAGATAGTCTGAGCACATATTGGAATAACTAACATGGGATAGGTAGAGGGTATATGACTTGAAGAATTAAAGTTCATTTACTTAAAGCTCCCCCAACCCCTCCTGGAGAAGGAAAGATGCAGTCACAGGTAAGTGACTGTGAGCACCATACAGAATCCAGTGGGTTCCCAGAGAAATCAGCTTCACTCCCTTAGCTTGGTTTTCCTGAATACTCTTATTTGAAAGAAATACAGAGGAGTACCCAGGAAACATCAGACTTACAGCATATTTTCCAAACCGACCTTAAACAACCCAAAACAAGGGATCCGGAGAGGGACTCTTTGCTAGGAACTGCAGAGACAGGACAAGGGGTAACAGGTTCAAATTGAAGGAGGGGAAGTTTAGGTTAGATATTAGAAAAAAGGTTTTTACTGTAAGGGTGATGAGACACTGGAACAGGTTGCCTAGGGACATGGTGACTGCCCTGACCCTGTTCAAGGCCAGGCTTGATAAGGCCTTGAGCAACCCGATCTAGTGAGGAGGTGTCCCTGCCCACGGCAGAGGGTTGGGAGTAGATGGTCCATTCCAACCCCTAAATTCTATGATTCTAAACATTCCGAGCCTATGGCACTGACTCATACCCTAAAGCTTCTGATTCAAAGGCTGCTGCATCCTTCAATTCTTAATGTAATCTCTGCATTTCTAAACCTCATGCTAAAGGTGACAGAAATAACCGAGTCTCACTGGACTCTAAAAAGGAAGTTACAGTGACTAACTCAGATGTAGGTACATTGCCAATGTTGAAAAGGTTACATGAAAGGAATCACATTTCTAACTCTTAGGAAAAGGCTAGGAAGACTGATGCCACCCTGCTGATAATCAGTACCTCTACAAAGCCTCAAAGAAAGGTTTTCAAACACAGACATGCATTAGTTGTAACTCTTATGAATTGTGAGATTCTGAAATCCTGTGGTCAGTCAACAGTAGCAATTGCAGAGAACTCCCACCCAGCTTCAGCAACTTAGAGAAGGAACTTTCCTAATCTAAGCACAGTGAATGCTTTAGAAAATAGGACTCCAAAGCTGAACATAATGAAACAGCTTTCAAAGAGTATTCACAGAGGAAAATCCGAGTCATTTACAGGATCTCACTGAAATAGGTACAGAATTAAGGAAAACAAAAACAACCTCCCAACTAAACTCCTTTCCCCAAAACATGTACAGACCCTTTTAATTTGCCAATATTGTTTCTGGTAATTAGCTGATTCACTTCTCATCAAATTTTTCTGCCAAACAACTTGTCTGAAGCAGATACAACTATGGAAAATTTAAGCCCAGATGGTTAAAGTAATAAACAACTATAAATGCAGATTTCAGTAATACTGAAAGAAGTCAATCAACCAGAAAATCTACACATAAAATCTACATAGAGTTACATGAAAGCAACACTATTATCCTACTCTATGGATATGTTTTACTTTTCAATTGGAGTTCCGAGTGCTCAAGATTAAAAAAAAATAGGTATCTAAGTAATGCAGAAAATGACCTACAATTGTTATTTACATTTTAAATTTCTGGTACAAGTGACTTATTTAAAAGCTTATTTTAAAACTGGATTTCTGTTTAGCAGATTCAGAATTCAGTTGCTACTGCTCCTAGCCCTGAATTCTAGATGGAAAATTATACCTTTTTTCCTTGAGACCAATTCACATTTAGCAGCTCAACCCAATACTAACTGTAATAGATGATGAAAAAATATACTCTTCACTATCAGAAATCCTCCACACATTTAAAGGAAAACAAACTCACTGCTGCCATGTCTTTAATGAGTTTAATGATGATCTCTGAAATCTGTGTAGGTGTTGATCCCTTCATCCACCAATGACTTTCACCTCGCCGAATATAGCTGCAAAGGACATATGGCCATAGATGAAACAGATTCAAGTAATAAGCTACTATTTGTCAAAATCCAGACATAGTGTACATATTCAGCACAAAGTAGGTTGTGGTTTGTTTCTTTTTTAAAATCAAACTCCCTAGTACAATGACATACTGACAAAGTTTTATACATTCTTTTCCTGTTTAAAAACCAAAAGATTATAAAGACAATGTAACTGACTTCAAAGAATGTGCCTTTAGCTTGAGAATATATACACATTTTTAAACAAACCTGGAATTGAAGATCATTGGAAGTGTGACTGTGGTAACTCCTTTGCCCGCAGTCGTGCCAGCTGTCCCTGTTATAGTAGTTCCTTTGGCTTTTAGCTGTACAGTGAGAGCTTTGGCAATGCAACCCAAAAACATGTCCAAGATACCTAGTTTATTCCAATCTCCTTTTTCTGTTGAATGAATGATGTCACTTATATCTGCTGGTGGGAGAGACTTCACCCCTATAATGCTAGCCAGGCGACTAGGGGTTACCTCAGGCAAAACACGTCTCAGTAATGATGTTACCTGGAGGAAAAAATCAGAACACGACAATTCTTACCAAGACAGCTGGAGTTTTCCAGCAAAATCAAATCAAGTCTTTCTTCTTCTTCGCAAGTCATTTCAGTAAGAAGGACTGAATCCAATTTCTGTACTTAATTACTTCTGTGAGAAACTCTGTAATATTTCTATCTTGCATTGAAGTATTTATTAATAAATGCAGTGAGACAAGGCCAAAGGGTCTAGAACTGATCTCAGACAGCACTTAGTCTTCATACAATAATAAAATTATCTTTGGTAGAGAATGTACTGTAACAGTGATACAGATGTTTGTACAAGTCTGACTTGCTTGACACAGACATGTCACCCACTTCGCACATATTATTTAGATGTCAGAAAAGCTGAAGTAGAACTCTTAGAGACACTTTAGACTTCTGAAAACAAAGTACCTGCCTTAAAGTACTGAGAATTTTAACACTCTTTTCCCCCTCATTCAGTTTTCCCTGTGATAGTCTAACTGGAATATTTTGCTGTGCCCACAGATCTGGATCTAACAGGAACTGTCCTTCAACCTTACCAGCTGGAAGAACTGGGGCTGAAATTTGCTCTATCATGCAAAGTTTGGTCCAGATCAGGATGTATGAAAGCTTAATGACTTAACATTTCATATATCATTTCTCAAGTCTTCAATGTTCTCTTGAAAAACTATTGCATATTTGCAATGTATCAGGAATTACTTAGCAGGGCAGTATCTGCCTCTAGGCAAGCTGAGTTGTGGGACTGTAACATTTCAGAAAACTGTAAAAATACAAGTAGAGAACATGAGACAAAAACTTCTGCAACAGGAACTAAAAATCCACCTAGAAAAGGCACATCAGCTGGCAACAAGATAGTGCATTGACTGTACTAAAGCAAATATTCTGTATGTCTATATGATATATTATGTGCATATATATATACATATACCCAGACAAGACCTAAATTTAGAAAGAAACAGATACTAAAACTCTTCTTGAGGATACCAAGGGTAGAAAAGAGCTGTGTAGTTCCACACTATTACACTTACAGCCTGAGAGTGAGACATAGATGCTAAGGACTCATGCCAGACCAATAACAGGTACTGGAAATTAAAAACCTCTCACCTTGCTTACGCAGGCTGTATGAGCATTATATGCACACAACATGAAATACCCAAAAACCACTTGATACTTAGGTCCTGTCCATCGGACAGTCATTTCTACCATGCTCAATTCATTCAAGATCTAATCTCAACCAGTGAAAACTCTGCTTCATCTGTTATGATGATTTAGCGAGACAGTCATTAGCCATGCCACAATTCTAGCTGTCACAGTGCCTTGAAGTCAAATACAGTATTAAAAGGGCAAGAACTAACTACTGCCTCCTCAAATCCTGCAAATATTTACCAACACTTGGAGCATGCGCGGCACATATAAATGGGGGCAAACTGTGCAGCTCTCTCAGGCTCTTTCCCCACAATGAAGTGACGTGAGATCTTCCTAAAAAATAAGCACTCACTAGCTTCCTTCACAGCTGAAAATGGCACTGCTTTTTATACAGAATTCCTATTTGCAATAAATAAACAAACCAGCTAAATTGTGGTGGTGCTGGAGTATATTTATATATCAAACCCATTAAACTAATGCGTTTATCATAAAAATTATCATTTTGGTCCCATTCAGAAACTGGAAGAAATTCCCCAAACCTGACATTTAAATTCCAAGAAGAGATTCTGTATTCAGAAATTTTCATTTCCCCTCTCCTCATTCCTACTATAACAAAATAAGTTGTTTTATATTTACAGTCTTTTCCCATATGGAATATTTAACAACAACAACAAAAAGAGCTCAAATACATATCACACACACAATGTCAGGATTCTAAAGACGTTTCTGCAGGAATACCATGACAGACAAGGAGCAGAACCCACCTGTCTCTGCACCCTGGGAGAAGCAGTGTGCAGCAAGGAGAAGAGATCCTGGAGCAGAGTGAGCTGCTGGGCCAGGTACTGGCGGCCTCAGCGCCAGCACCATGGACAGCAGCTCGAAGCAGTAAGCGTCAGAAGAGGCATCTTCGTCGTTGGGCTGCGAGTTGGCGTTCTCCTTGCTGGAGATGGCGTGTTCCCACTCCTCGCGCACGCGCGTGGCTTCCATGCGAATGGCCTGCACTATGTGAGCACACACCTACCACAACACAACACAAATATCAACAACCTTCAAACCTGTACAAAAGTCAACAGTGTGTTTTATGCCCCTTCACGACTGTGGAGGGAAACCTGTGAAATTTGGCCTGTGCTTAAATCACTTTGTAACAGCTTCAAATGAAGAATAAAATTTGAGTTTTAACCTGTGAGTAAAGCTTAGATACAATTCTTTATAATTAAGATGTAGATTTAATATTCAATTTTCTCCTCTTCATTCTGGAAAATTTAACTGAAATTAATATAGTTTTTTTATTTTAGTTCCTGTTTTTTTCATTTAAATTTAACATAGAATTGCTGGAGCAGGTCCAGAGAGGAGTAACGAGGCTGGTGAAGGGACTGGAGCACAAGTGCCATGAGCAGAGGCTGAGGGAGCTGGGGTTGTTTAGCCTGGAGAAGATGAAGCTCAAGGGAGACCTTATCACCCTCTACAACTCCCTGAAAGGAGGCTGGAGTCAGGTGGGGGTTGGTCTCTTCTCCCAGGCAACCAGCAGTAGGACAAGAGGGCACAGACTCAAGCTCTGCCAGGGGAGGTTTAGGTTGGATATTAGGAAGAGATTTTTTACAGAGAGAGTGATCAGACATTGGAATGTGCTGCCCAGGGAGGTAGTGGATTCACCATCTCTGGAGGTTTTCAAGCTGAGACTGGATGTGGCACTTAGTGCCATGGTCTAGTAACTACAGTACGGTTGGATTTAGTGATCTTTGAGGTCTCTTCCAACCAGGTTGATTCTATGGTTCTAATTTAGGTTAAACTCCATCCTCCCCTCCCCCCCCAAAAAAACACCAAAGGAAATACAATTACTCAATACCCACAAAAAATAAAGGACTTATTATAATACCTAGTCTCAATTACTAATCAGGAAGCTTAGAAAAATTTCAGAAACCATGTTTTAATTTTACCAATAGCATGTTAAAAAACATATTTAAGAGATTTTAAAGTTTGCTAAGATGAATGACAAGTATATTCTGCATGACTTACTAATCTAATAAATTTCAAAATCTAATAGCTCTTGTATTACTGTGAAAAATCTTTATGGTAATGTTTGTCTCATGGTAGACATAATAGAGATAATATAAAAGATGCTTTAATTGATATATAAAAAAGTATTCAAAAGAAAAACTTTAACTACTGCTTTATGTTAGAAAAACAAAGTTAAGTTAAAAACCCACAAACCTGAGCTTTAAGTGACTTCAGGAAACAACAATGTAAGAATCTACGCACTGATTACCTTTTTAGGATTAAATTTTATCAAACCTAAATACTTTTTGATGACAGATATGGGGAGAAAACATGCAAGGTGAGAATCTAAACTCTACCACTGAACCTTCCCTAGACCTTTGTGAAGGTCACTTCTTAGGCTATTATTAATGGCAAATATGAATTAGTACCACTTACAACTCAATTCTAAAATTTTTAAATTGCACCTAATATAATAGGGGATTATATCCAATTAAAATGGATTTTTTTCAGTGTCAGTTTCAACAGATTTTTCATATAGAACACATGAACTATTTAAAGTATAAACCAAAGTTTATATATAAAGAACAACAGAAGAACTGAGAGTGTAAATAAACTGTTCTATATTCACTGAAAATGAGCATATTTCTTACAACACACCAATATTTAAGCCTCAAATCATTTCAAAAGGAACAAACCTGTTTCTGCAAATTTGTCAGTTTGCTCCGGCTGAATATGATCCCTACCATGTGCTCCTTCAGGTCTGCATCTGATGTTGCCTTCATAAAAAGCATATTTAATGTTAGATCAAGAGTTTTAAGAACATTTCCTAATTAGTGTAGCAAGTAACATGAAATGTCATCAACAAACTTGGTTTTCAGTTTGTAGCTTTTTGCTATAGAGAAATAAGATACATAAGCAAGATCAGTTTAACTGCTGTTAATAAGTACCTCTTAGAAAGTAAATACATCATTCTCTTTATCAGAGAGAATCTGAGCATGAAATGAAATAAAATAATCCACAAGCAAAACAAGTGAAGTATAATTATCTGAGATTCAGCTTCTTCACATAGGGTTAATACCATCACACTAAGTCTTTGTAAAGCAATACAGGGAATACACTTTACAGTTTATATATTTCACGATAAAAGAAAGAGGGTACACACCACCAAGTTAGCACACAGCAGGTGTGCTGGAGGACAGGAGATTACAGCAGCTAAAAGGATGCTAGTGTGCTTTCTTCATACTTTTTTTGTCTAAACATCAGAGTCCCTCTTGAGGTACAAAATAATAGACAAGGACTTTCAGGCTGACTATTACTACAGGTGTTCAGTACTTCTGTAGTCGTAGCATAATGTGTGCCACCACTGCTATGATGCTTCCATTAAATGCATATGCTTCAATTATAATTTACTAATAAAAAAATCCATTATAATTTTTTAGAAGTAAGCAATTGGGACATTTAACTTCTGCTTTGACCTGAAAATTCTGCATCATTTTTTCAGCAAAGTATTATTGATAGAATACAAATAAATACATTGTGTACTTTTTCTTCTCCTTCTGGGGAAGACAACAGTGCTTTTTCTTCTTGTTCTGGGGTTGGCTCAGCATCTCCAGAGATGAGTTTTCCAAATACCTGCAAGAAAGACAGTAACAATTAGCCTAACTCAAAGATAAACTTGTGCAGATGTGACATTTTACATTAAAACATAAAGCACTGAAAGTGTCCAATTTATAGTAACTGTCAGTGTATCACACAGGGTGAAAATCCCACCTGAGATGTTATAAGTCGGAATACTCGCAGCGTCTCAGATTCACAGTTTCTTTGTTGAGCTACACTTGCAGAAATCTGGCCTGCTATTTTAATGCTTTCACCATCCTTCCAGCCAAGAATTTTCACTTGTCGAACTCTCAGTGTGTTCTCTGGACCCTTCAATTCAATTTTGATGATGTGATTATCACCCCCAGGAAGTTCACTTGTTACCCAGCCAATATGTCTTGAATCCAAGTCTACCTATTAAACAGGAATATAAAGGTGGGAACTGACATTACACACACAAAAAAAGTCACCTACACATAAAACAAAGCCATCATGTATCACTGGAATGAAATCTTCAACCTGAGCAGTAAGACTTACCATCTTTAATTCTAAAAATATTCAACATCATGAATTCAGATTAGAAAAAATTCTTAAAACTTAAAAATATGACACAGCCATTTTTTTATCTTTAAAACTTATTAGAAATAGTGGCCTACTTATCCCTTCTACCCTCTGACCAATGGTTCACATATTAAAAAAACCCCTCTCTGAATTGATATTTGTTTGCTTCTTTTAGTTACAAAAGAGCTTCCATAACTTAACTGAAAATATAGCACACAATCATAAGTAATTCAGTTATTTCATCCCTATTCACACAGACCCCTGCCAAAGGAATTGTAAATTTGCAAGTCAATGTCTGCTGTTCTTATTAAGACATGCAGGACATAATATTTGTAAAAAAGAGATCAATTGTACCCAGTTAAGTTTATTTTAAAATAAATAATGTTACATGAAGTCATGTATTTCATATAGGAAACTGTGATGGCACTACTGGAAGCCAAACACTGACAGGGTGCAGAGTCTCACACCATTGCTCAGAGCAACTCAAGCCCTGAGCCACGTGAGCACTCTCTCCCCTCCTTAGGCCCATTTATAATCAAGCCAATATTTGTTCTCATTTCTACACTAATTCTCAGTGTCTGCATTGAATTGTGCTGTAGCAGATAGGACTGACTTTTTTAAAATGCCATGAAACTGAGTATGCATGAGTTAGGGTGGGTGTGTTTGAAGGTAAAAAACCTGTTGGACAAGTGTCAGGACTGTTCAGCAAAGAGGGAACAAAGCTGACTCAGATGCTGCCTGTCTTCTGGGACTGAACCAGCCCTGGAAAAATGGCCAAACACTGTGATTGAGGAGACACAAACAAGGCTAGGGAGGAAGCTAAAAAGCTGTATCACGAGTCCAGCTCCTGAGCTTAGTATGCCTGACTGTCCAGCTAGATATAAAAGAAGGCCATGGCAGAGTCAGTCCTCTCACAAAAAACCCAGTTCTCCAAGCCAGGTGAGTGTGTGCCCATCTATGTTTTGTATCTACACACACAGACTCACAGAAACACACACACCATCTGTCTACATATAAGCACACACTCACACTTCACTGTTTACTTTGAGCTCACTGTGTGGAGGTTTGCTTTCTTCAAATTCGTAACATCTCTCAGGGCTATCTTAAATGCTTTCAGAGGATGAGAGGTAAAGAAAAGCAAACCATCTCTGTCACAAAACAATGCTGCTTCTTGAATAATTTTACCACTAACTGTCAGTAACTCAGAGAATAAAGTTTTGAGCCCAAGATGGTAACTGCCTGCTTGAAGCCATGAATACCTTTGCTACGTCACAGTGTCAAAATACAACACATTGTGAGAAAAAGGCATCTGTAATTTGGCTTAGCAACCTAACTACAAAGACTGAATGCCATTCTGAACTTGAGTCTCCAGACAGAAGTCTTCAGCTACATGCAGCTGAGAACTAAAATGGCATGTAAAATGTGTGCCATAAACGTGTATTAGACCACGTAACTAGAAAAACTTATGTTCATGGTAAACGATTTTTCTCCTTTCTCGTGGTGCCCTAATTCTGCTAATTCTTAAGCTGCATTTCTCTAACGAAAGATGGTTCCTTGAAGCAAACAAAAGGGAATAACTTCTTAGTTAGTGCAACACTAAGAAGTCAGGCATCAGAATAACTAACAAAATATAATCCTACGTAATGCAATTATTTCAGGTATATTCAGATACAAGCATCCTAGAAGAAATCAAACAGCTTGTTGGACCTTAAAAATCACAACCTAAAAAGCCTTTTTTTGGATGCTTTCTGGAGCTGAAAGGGTAAGTGATCATGTAGTAATTTAAATAAAAATTAATCTATGGAACATTTTATATTACCCTGTTCTGTTTCAGTAAAAGAGTAAAAGCTCAATTAATATTCACAGAATGCAGTACTATTCAAGGATATTATGATGCCTGATATCTGTAAAATAATTTAACTATAATAAGAAATGGAAAGTATTTCCTTAGAAGACTCTGTGCAGCCAAAATTTTCCATGTCAACTGTTAAAATGTTTACCTGCTTTATTCTGCAGAGATCTTCTACTGCCTTGCCAGTTAGGAAGGTCATTGAAGTCACTTTGTTCTGCAACAGACAAGCAAAACAAGAATTAACCACTTCAGCTGAGGACCACTCTGACTATTCCTTCTGTATTAAGAAAGTACATACATCAAAGAGAGATAAGTTGTTTCACTAAAAAAATAAATAAAAATTATCAAAACCAAGGACAACGGATTCTGAAGCACAGCTCTCAAAATAATCTGCTCTTTATAAACTGTAGTTGAAATACAGATATATTTGCAACATTACTGTACAGATCAATAAAAAAGAACGTAGAAAGCCTAGAAAACAGTTTGGATTTTATGGAATCACCTTATTTCAACCCTTCTACAGAAACCACGAGCAAGAAAAGTAACTTAAAATAATTAATTGGGTGAAAACGCATCTGAAATTGACCATGCCACGGAGGGTTAAGTTTCCCAGTCTTAAGTTCATGCAACATCAAATTCAGACTGGTCTGATCATAACAGTTACTGGTTTCAAAATCACAGGACTTAGAGACTTTACTTTGAAGTGTGAGCTTCTGAATTAGAATGACCAATTGAACTGGAGAGAGAAAACAATGGCTCTTGATGGATAAATATATATATATATATGTACAACTTGGACTATGCACATTCAATGAAAGACATTGAATTTCATTTTCCTCTTACCCCAAGATCTCTGGAATTGTCTACATGAACACAAACATAACGTGCATTGATTCCTTTTACACAGTTAATTGTGATGTTTTTTGTCTTGTTTTTGTCCTCATCTCCTGACTCCCAGAATGTTTCTGTAGACCCATCTGTTAAACTACCAATCATGGCAGGTCGGCTCGATGTTTTAATGTCCACAATGCTGGTTAGGTCTTTTAGACAAACCACTATACACAACTCCTGTGAAAACAAATGAAAATATTTTAAATATCTGAAAACAAGCCCAAATATAAGAATGATCTGCCATTTTAAAAACCATACAGACATTTCTCTTCTGAGGAATATGCTCTCCAAATTGAAGAAGAAAGTCATCTTTTTTTTTTGTTCAGATTATTCAATTCTTTAAACCAACAGAAATATTAATAGCTAACAACTGAATATATTAGTAAATGCCTCAATACATTAATAAATGGAAGAAAACAATTGAAAGGTATTAATAAAAAGTATTAATTTATGCTCCTTGGAATACAGGAGAAAAAACCAAACATGTAAGAACTGGAAGTACACAGCACCTAATTCAGTGAACCAAATGAAGTGTAAGACACCTCTTAACCACTTCACCTGAGAACAAGCACTCAGAAACACTGCTCCAAAATTTAGGACTGAGTGATACACACACTAAGGGTCAATATTTCCATCTCTAAAGCTAAATATGGGAGCCTAAATATCAGCAACATGATTCCAAACTGAGACACATTCCAGGAAATATGACACTGCAATAAGAAATGTTTTAATTCAAACAGAATCATCACAGGAAGCACAGGCTGTTCACAGGTGATCTTTGCTTCTGAGAGGGAGGTGTAATACTTGCCTGATTCATGACTTCAAAACCAGACTGAACGCTGATACTGAAACTCTCTTCACTATCTCCATCATCAGATTTAGACAAAATATTGTTGATATGATGGAAAACATTGCTCTGGTGCAGGAACTGGTGGTCAGATTGTTTGAATTTGAGACTCCAGCACCTGAAAACATATTTAGTGGACTTTGAAATTCTGAATATTCTTTAAAAGACACAACCTACAAGTGAAACTATTAATTGAATTTTTGCATCTCAAAATAATTTCTATAAATCTTTAGCTTCAAATTTTGCAGGATCTTAAGTGTTTCCATGCATCATTTTGAGGAAGGCAGGAATAAACTTTACTTACAATTTTATAGTAAATGCAACCATTATTATATGATTTCTCTCTGAGACAGGTACACAGAAAAAAATTCAAAGAGTTTAAGGATACTATCCAGGTGATGGATTTCTGGGCAAAAGGCATTAGACTACAATGCACATACACACAGATACTAGCAAATTATTCCATAATATGTTTCGAGCACAAGTGCCATGAGGAGAGGCTGAGGGAGTTGGGATTGTTTAGCCTGGAGAAGAGGAGGCTCAGGGGAGACCTTATCACCCTCTACAACTCCTAGAAAAGGGTCTAGAAAACATGTCTTGTGAGGGATGGCTGAGGAATTAGGTTTGTTTAAATCGTTTGTTTAAATCTCAAGAAGAGGAGGCTCAGGGGTAACCTCATAGCTCTCTACAACTACCTGTCAAGGGGTTGTAGAGAGGTGGGGAATGGTCTCTCCTGCCATGGCTGCAGGGAGAGGACTAGAGGGAATGGCCTTGAGCTGAGCCAGGGGAGAGTCAGATTAGATGTTAGGAAAAATGGATTGTTCAGCCTGGAGAAGAGGAGGCTCAGGGGAGACCTTCTCACCCTCTGCAACTCCCTGACAGGAGGTTGGAGTCAGGTGAGGGTTGGTCTCTTCTCCCAGGCAACCAGCAGCAGGACAAGAGGGCACAGACTCAAGCTGTGCCAGGGGAGGGTTAGGTTGGATATTAGGAAGAGATTTTTTATGGAGAGAGTAATCAGGCATTGGAATGAGCTGTCTGGGGAGGTGGTGGATTCACCATCCCTGGAGGTTTTCAAGCTGAGACTGGATGTGGCACTTAGGGCTATGGTCTAGTAACCACAGTAGGGTTGGACTTAATGATCTTTGAAGTCTTTTCCAACCTGGTTGATTCTAAGATTTTATGATTCTTTTTCATAGTGGACATGGCACAGAATTTAAGACCAAATATATTTTTCTCTACAAACCCTTTTATACTATTATTTATCAGTATAAACACATACTTGCATTTTCTGCATAGATTGTCCCTAATCGTAAGAACAGGGATGCTCCTTTCGCACAGGCACGTGAAGATATTTCAAGCTTCCTATCCACACTGCAAAATCTATTAATTTGTAACACTACAACATTTCCAGCCTTTTAAGAATTCTCCTGATTGGTGCTCACCTTAAGGCCATTTGCTGTAATGCACTACCACTGGGAAGAGACATCATAAGATCAGAGATTGTCTGAAGAAGGCGATGAAAAGTGTGGGGTAACGGGTGAGCTGCTTCGCCAGCAATCACTATATCCGACAGAGGATGTTCACATACTCTTGTGTCTTTTTCCTAAGATGCAAAGCAACTTGTATGTTATTAACAGACATTCAAAGAAAAAAGGTTAATTAAATAAAAACACTTAGGCTATTTGGTTTATGAGTAACTGCAACAATCCTATAATGAATGTGAACTTAGGGCAGGTCCTGTCAGAGAATTTTTACACTAAGTTATACATGTGCCTCCAACAGGGAATTTGGGAAGAATACTGCATGCTACCATGTATTTCTCAATATTCGATGATGTAAAACACCATTATTTGAAAAAAACCCACCCCAACAAAACAAACTAGAAAAAGTAATATATTCCAGCTGTTAAAAGCAACTTTTTTTTAAACAGCAAACCCAGCCATACCAACTTGGTAACTAAGCTAAAGTTATTAGTGCTGTATTTCTTTAGAGCTGTGCAAATAATAATTCTCAGTTAAGGTGTGTCAGTACCAACAGCAGTGGACTGGGAGCAGAGTTCCACTGGGCAGTGTGTACAAAGGCACTGGCAGAGGACCCAAGGGGGGTGGGGGCCAGCAAGCTGTGCTATGGGAAGAGCAGCAGTAAAAACAGAAGAGTTTCTGTTCATGATATGCCATTTGAGAAGGCATGGAAAGACTCATTCATGACAGATACAAACCATTTCCCCTGCTGCTTTTGAAAAAGAAAATCTGATCCTGCTTGAACCACAGAAGCCAGCTGCATGGACACACTGTCATACAAAGCCTGATTCAAACTTATTATTTTAAACCCTTTAAATTGCCTTTGTATATTCTTGCAAGTAGATTTCCCATGGATCTCAACGGCTTGAATACTTAGAAATGCTATGGTATTATTTGAAATTAATTTTAGAGAAGAATAATCAAACCATACCTAGATAAGAGTGATCAAACCAGACATTTCTCTGTATTTTGCTGGAGGGCATAATGTGGTAGAGTGTACTCAGGGCATGAAGTAGGAAATTGAACTCTACACTAAATATAATCAATTATTCAGAAAAAGTTCAAAGTATTCCCCTTCCCCCCAAGGATCCTATCTACACAGGTACCATCCTGCTCCCCCTGTCTCCTCTGCAGCTGAGTAATTCTTGCATTTTGTTTTGCTTTAGCAAGGACATTGCCCTTGAACTCACATCTTATGCAGTAAACCACTTACAGTTCCAGATCACCATCCCCCACTTTTACAAAATTTCTCACTGGGATTTCTCATATTCTCCCAGTACATTAAAAGAATATGTAAAACTATTTCACATAAGGAAATGAATCCTGATTGTGGAGAAGCATCTAACAGTCTTGGATTTGTTCCACTGTGCACATATATTAACCTGGGTATTTTTATCATATGATCAGACTACTGAAGGAAGACGTTGTGATCTCAATATGTAACACCAAACCCAAAGCTTCTCTGAAAAATATTTTTGTTCTCTTCTTTTTGTGGGGCAAAGGAAGAATAAAAAGCAAACTGCACATTTTTTTGTTCCTGGATTAGCAATGTGCTTGTGCTTTTTTATTTCCCACAAATACTAAAAAATAATACACTAAAAGACTATGTAATTCATGAGCACAGAAAACCTGATGATTTAACAAGAAAAATTAATTCATCTATGTCTACAGCATGAGTTCAACTACAATTCTGTGTTCTGTTTCACAGAGAGGAATAAGCAATTTTTTTCACACAACAAAAATGTTTCTAATTTGCCTACAGAATCAACAGAGATGAAAGGAATGCTGAACCTCACTCACTTGTTCTGCATTTTCTTTATTTGATTTATTTTCTTCATCCTCTTCTTCTTCAGGCTCTACAGGTGCAGGAGTCAGGGAAGCCACAAAATGCCATAAAATATCATGAAGAGAAGTTGTTTGAATGACATTACAAAGAAGCCAGTTGAAGGCCTAAAATAAAATACATACAAGGAGTTAAGCAAACCTGGAGTAAACCCATTTCCTAAACCATTTATGTAAGGAGGAGCCCTGACACTTTTGGACAGGCAAATAATAATGTAAAGGCCTTTGAATAAGACACACTCTTCTGTACCTAAAGCAGTTTACTAAAATGACAGTTATATTACAGGGCCCATAACAATCTTAAACAAAAATTCCAAGACAGAATTTACAACCATCTTATTCAAGATCCAGCAGTACATTAATACCTCCATGGCAAAGACTCGGCAAGCAGATTTCCGTAAGGCTTGTTTCATTGCAATTTCAAGTCCTTCCAGATCATGATGCTGGATTACAAATGCCAATACTGGCCACTGGAAATTTCTCTCTCCTTTGGAAAGAGAGCTGTGGGCGGAGATTAACCGAGAAAGTTCAGGAGATGGATGTCTCAGGAGAGAGGACCCCACTTCTAGTCAAAAGCATAAAAATACGCATACATTAGATTCTTTACATTTACATTAGACTGCATTTCAATTTTATAGTCACAGTAAAAATAAACAGCAATAAAGCACTTTTAGAATGGATGTATCTTTTCTATGAGAAAACTGCATTAACAATAAGCAATGTGGAAAAATGATGCTTCAACTGAGAAAATACCACCTTCACTTCTAAATCAAGCATGAAAGATTCACCACAAATTTCAGAATCACAGTAATGCTGATTAACAAACACCTAATGTTTATTAATAACTAGAAAGAAAATCCATGACATGTATTTATAAAAAAATTGTATTTCTCTACAGTTTCCAAGAAGAACTGCAAATCCAATGGCATAGCCTTTACGAATTTCTGATGTCTGTGCTCTTACCTGCATCTCCACTGTTGACTCGTCTCCTGGGAATTGCCTTTACACGTGCTGGCAAAATTGAGTGCTGTTTGTCATATTCTGATGCAACAACTGAATATGATCTTTGAAAGACTGTGCGCTTGGCAAGATCTGTATCTGTTATCGGGCTGGTTTCCAAACTACAAAGAAAGCAGTGAAGTAATACACCCATTAACAAACATATAGAGTATGCCCAAATTATACATAAATATTAAGAAAGGATACATGCATTTCATAATGACAATGCTACTACTGCATGACAGTTTGTCTTATGTACCTAATAACTGTTTAAATGCTGAAAAAGAAGGAACATGTATTAGAATTACACATGGTGAAAAAAGCATGCAAGTGCTTTATAAACAAATGTCATGATGCACATGGTAAGTTCCAAGAATTCAGGTATTTCTTTTTTTTTAAGAGAGACACAAATATTCAGATCATGCCTGAATTGAAGTATCAGACCCAATTTGTCCTGAGAATGCACGTGAAAAACGTCTATGGAGTGAATTTTTAATACACAAGCCAACTGAAATTTTGAACTTTAAGTGAAGTAATAGTTTCCCATATCAACAGCCTTAAAGTCAACTTTCAATTGCTACGGCTATACCTCTGACATGTTTTACTCCTTACCTTCAGTGGACTTCTTACAGTCTGCAGAAGAACTCCCAGCTTCTGCTGTCCCTACAGGCCTCAGGAGACCATGGTGTCCACAGTTTTAATAGGGTAATATACAATACGATGCACTCTTAAGGAGTTTTGTTAGAAAAGTTCTATTTCTGAAACGACTACAATGTAGATTGTAGTATTCCAATAAACTGTTTTTGCAGTCAGTATAAAATATAACAGATTGAAATAACAACAGATTAAAAGCAAGTTTTCTCTTCATTACATCCTCACTATAATATGAGGAATCACTGACATCTGAAAACACCAAGCATCTGAGTTGATTCTGGACTATTATTAACAGGTTTTTTTTTCCCCCTGGTGAAACTGAAATTCCTGTAGCTGCTTGAATTAGATTACAGTAAACTTAATGAGACAAGAAAATGGCTTAACCTGAGAGAAATCATATAGCACTCTTGGCCCTAGACAGCATTAAGTTGCCATTTCTTCGATGGCATTTTAGCTTCCCACATAACAGAGCAGCAACATTTGCTTTGAAAAATGTAAGGTAAGGAAATTTCCTGCTGTTCAAACTTCTCTTCAGAATGAGATCCCGAAAGAAGATCCTGAAAGAACAACCACTTCCTTTCAAAAAGGCCATTAATCTGCACTACACTCAGCTGCATTAAAGAACAGACATACATCGGGGAAAAAAAACCTGCTGCATTTTCATGGAGTTTGCAACAGCTACAGTCCTTGAATTATGGGTCTTTAGATCACTTCTTCAGATCTGGAGATTCTGGAAAAATTGTATTTGTCTCTATGGGGAAATAAGCAGACCTGGAGTAAAGGCTATGGATAAATTTCCCTGAGGTATGCTAAGAGTCCTTAACCACTGAACAAACCTTTTTCATATTTAGGTGGTAAATCCAGGACCTTTCTAGAGAAAAGCAATTGGTTTGCAGCACAGTTAAAGGTTTCAATAGCTATTCCTTGCATATTCAAACATATTCCATTGCTAGTGGTTGAAAATATACCTGACACGCTATGATTCACTGAAGATATTTTCCTGACTACAGCTTCATATGCTTTTGACGTTTTTGCTGCCATTTCAGAGACTGATCTGGGCTGATCTGATACCTTAGCTACTTAGCTGCAGCAATATTTTCCTTTTTCCTTTTAAAACTGGTGCTATGCCAATGCCACAACATTCATATGTGGTACCTAGAATTACAAGGAAGTACCTTGGGGGCATAGATTTCATGTTACTCTCTGGCTCTTCAAAGACATTAGGGCTTGCATCAGGAGTAACTGAGATGTATGGTGCAGGTACTGAAGTTGAGCGCAAGTATCTCATCTCATCCTGGAAGAGGTTGTCATCCTGGTACCCGACAAAATTTTCATGATGATGCCTACATCAAATTAGATTTTAAAATTAGGATCAAGGAGTACAAACTTGTGAAACACATATGCAAAAGTCCTTTGCCAATACACTTAGTATTCATTTACTCCTCACCTAGTAACTCTTTTAAGCTAGTTGTGACGTGTAAGTGTTGGTGGAAAATACAATGGCATTTTCAACCAACAGGGAGTTGGGATCACTCTTCACTATCTTTCAGTATTTTCATTGGGTATTTCCAGTATGTATTTTAGGCCCAAAGGTCCATCCAACATAAACATGAGACCTTACAGTGAAATCTACTTAGAAATACCAAGAAAGCACAAGTCTTCTGTTTCCTTCTTACTACTTTAACTGTGAAGAGGAAAAAGTAGCACATATGTCTGCTACTAACACAGTAAGTTAAACTCTTCGGGAAATTCTAAATTCTTAGGACATAACCTAAATCCTGTTAAAAAATATTTAGCATCCAAAAGCTACTCAGACACTAGGAGAAAGTACAACCTACAAAACTGAACAAGACGTAAGAACAATCATCATAAAGAATTAAGAAAATATATCATTTGCTATGTAGGTTTAGATTAGTTTATACACATTTTTATCCAACAGTATACATACATAAGTGCCAAAATCAATATTCATATACTTCCTTTAATCACCTTGCTAAAGTCTGTAGATAGAGACATGGCATTTTAATGGGAAAGTCTTCAGAAATTCCTTCTTTGACACTGGGAAGCTGAGATTGGAACGCTTTTGCAGGGTGATAGCAGAGGATACTGGGCTCAGCAGCACTACTCAGAGACAGTAAATAGAGTGCATTGGCTTTAATTACTTGATGAGCTTCCATAGTTGGCAAGGCACGAGGTGTCTTAACTTGCATTGGTTTTCTCCTAGATTGTTTAATCTAGAGAAAATTAAAAAAAGGTATAATTAAATTATACTTCACCACAGGAAGATCTGACAACCTAACTTATACTTGAGCGGCTTGATTATACCTGCTATAAAATATTTTCAATGACAAAACACACTTCTATTATTTTCATAACTTTGCAAAGATTTAATAAACAGCTGATAGTCTTCATGTTTGCCTCGGGATTAAATTTTGCATGCAAAAAAGTTTCAACAAATTTAGTTTAAAAAAGAAGGTTAAATTACAATTGTTCAGCTTACCTTAAAACCTCAATGTATTTGAATACTTTAAGCAAGAATTTGAAGTTGGTCCTTGAAGACCAATACAAGAACAACACCTTTCGTACTATTCCCATTAAAAATTGCTCTAGCAGCATCTTGTATCCAATGATCCGGATTATTAAGATCATTAAAGAAACTATAAACACAAAGTTAAGACAGCATTCATTTCAGTAAACAACTAAAACCATTCAAAGCTAAGTAAAGTGACACATACTTCAAAAAAATTAGGTGTTACAGTTGTATTGGGAGAAATTACTTCACAAATTTGAAAATACTGTCACCAGAAGGGCAAGAATTGGGCCAGAAGTCAGCAAAGTTTCTATATTATTATCTTAAACCTGTCAATGACGTAAGATGATGTTCCAAAACCCTCCAAGATCATGAAATTCCAATTTTTTAAATAGGCCCTACCTTATTTTCAAGTTGTGAATGCAGCACTACTAAGCAGATAGACAGCTAAATGTATGAGAAACCACTGAAAATACCTTCTCTCTTGCTGCTGCTTGCTTTTCACGGAGATACTTTTCTCTGCATCGATCGCAAACCAAATACCAAGTGCTTCCTCCAATGCCACCATCACCACAATTACCAGCCCATCCTCCACAAAAGTGCCCAATGCTGTTATAACCTTGGCCACCTGCATAACGGCCACAACCTGCATGGGGGGGAAAAGGTGGAAAAAAAAGTCATTTGAAAAGAAGGATAATTATATTATTTTTTACTGTAAAAGAGGGATGAAGAGGGAGGGAGGAAGACACCTCTTTTCCTCACTTAATTTTCTACTTTTCTGTATGTTTGAAATGGTTATAAAACAAGATTCTTGTCCATGTGTCCCACCAGCACCCAAAAAATCCAAATCCACTGTAGTTTTCAAGTTTTTATTATGAGCTTGTCTGAAGCATCAACAGCTTCCTATTCAGACAGCTAAGGGATGGCAAGGACAGTACTTTAAGTTAGCCAACATTATCTGTAATTTAACAAACAGAAAAAATCCTCCCTCCTACCTAACAAAGCTTAAGAGGGAGCAGAGTCAGTTCTGTTGCTGATTAGCATTTCTCAGAATAATTCAGGGCACTGATAATTGCTGAATAGTAATTTTGCTTTAACTCTGCATACAGAGCTAAAAAAAGTACATACCAGCCAGGACACCAAAAATATTAAAGTCACTGATACCCAGGACTGACACAGCTGATAAATAAAAGTTTTCTACCACTGACAGTAGAATGGTAACAGAAAACATTTGGCAATTCAATTTTCTCAGCAGTTTCAAATCCTTAAGAGATAAAAAAGGGCATGTTTCTAAAGAGCTACTGTAAAGTCAGATCATGCTTTTGACCTTGTTTCAATCAACTTTATTTGGCATATTTGAAAGTTCAGATCCGTAACTACTTAAAGTTATGTGCAAAGATGCGCACAGAATTCGTATGTAAATATAAATTTTAATTTAGTGCATATAGTGAACTGTTAAAATGTTAGACATGACAGTCTTAAATATTTTCGCAACAGTAACTAATACCATAACGTGTGTGAAATGTACTTTACAGATGGACAGGGGAATGAAAAAATATGGAATCTTACCTGGATGAGCTTGTCTCATGTGGTAAGTCACTGGATATGGATGGGATTCTCCACACAATTCACAGATAGTGTCTTTTTCAGGTCCTCCCATTGCAAGCTGAGCCATCTCACCAAAAAGATTTCCCCTTGGCCTAGTCTCAACCTTTTCTTTTTTCTTTTTCTCTTTTTTAGCTTTTTTGCTATCCTTGTCACTTTCCTTCTTTTTCAACACTGCACAAGAACCAGGACTTGGAAAAATCATGTTTTGAGAAGCTGCTTTAATAGTTGCTAAAGAAATATCTTCCCAGAAAGCTACTAAGTGCTGCAGTGTTAACGGAAGAGGGGACTTGGATTTCATTGTGTGATGACTGGATGTATCAAAGGAGGTAGTTTCAGTTTTTCCATCCTCGCACTTCTCATGCAGAGGTGGTTCTTTCAACATTGAGAGGACTTTGTTTTTATTGATGCTACCCATTTTAGATATATCTGGCCCATGAGGTGAGATGTTGAACATGTTAAGAGCAGATGATATTTCCAATGAATGTCTATTTTTCAACTTGGTTTCCTTTTCCTCTGCAGGCTGTTGAGTAAGACTGCTTCGTATGGGTGCATGCTCTTTGGACAGTTCTGGATTAAACTTCAAAAAAGATGAGCATGCCATAGCATCATGAACTATTCCCTCATGCCACAGAAATGCAGCAAACACAGCTCTAGCACATTCTGCAACAGAAGGTGACATGGCTTGCTTGGCAGGCTCTATGGGCTTGGAGCCATCTCCTTTGAAAAGAAAGCTAGATTTTTCCTTTTTGGGTCTTGTGTGCCTACCAGCACATTTACGGCTCACTTTTGGAGATGCTCTCATGTCTTGCTCGTCCTTCAGTGGTGCTTTTCCTATGCTGAAATGAACTTTATTAGAACCATCATCCACACTTCTGAACTCAGTGTTGTCATCACAGGTGGTATCTGTGATGCTGTCAGTCTTTAAAGTACTTGAAGTACATACTTCAACTACCTCACTGTGAAGATTTTCTTGTACGACATGAGGGGAAGGTGCTCTATTTTCAGTTTCTGTAACAGGTTTTCCATCTTTTGCAATAATTTTTGGTTTGGGTGAAGTGGACCTCCCCCTTAAGGGTTCTGTTAGTGGCACTTTCTTTTTACGAAGCGTGTCTGGATCTAAAGTGTAAGAATCTGATTTGGAGCGTTCTCGAGGAGGATCAAGCTTTGTTTTTACAGGGGATGGAGCTTTCTGAGGTAGAGTTTTGTCATGGGGTGATGAGGATCGTGGAGAACTAGCACCAGATCTAACAGCTGTAAGTGTCTTTGTCTTTGGAGAAGATGACCGAGTTCCTGGGCCTGGAGATTCAGCTCTCAGACCAGTAGTTGTTCTTCCATCATTTTTTAGTGTTTGCAGAGTGTTATGATTTGGCGACAAAGATCTGCTGTGCGAGTCTGAGCGTAACTTTGCAGCATCTGATTTCAGCATAAGACACTCACTGGCAGATAGGCCTTCTGTATTTCTAGCTTTCTTCTGGTCAGCAGCAGCTCTATTCATTCGCACATCAAGCTTGGGTGACCTGCAGTCAGCTCTGTGTTTTGATGACATGTCTGATTTTCCTGCTGGAGAGACTGGTCTAGCAGCTCCTGTGAAATTCATTCGGTCACCTGTATAGTATATTTTATAATTAAATTCTTGTATGTTGACAGTGATGCCTTTAAAAATACAAAACAAGGACTAAAGACCTGAACACAAGATAAAGATCAAACACATGCTTCTGTTCACATCAAAATGAAAGGACACATGAAGGGATCTTTGTCTCCCTAGCATATTTTCAATACATTTATTCTCCCAAAGATACATATAAACAAGTGTTAGGAAAAATTTACAGAGACAAGACTATTATAGAGGTATCAAAAGGCACAGTTGACCATTTCCACAAACACTCGTAAAGGAAGCAGAATTTACATCCTTAGGTAAAATGCCAGCAGTTTGCTAAGTTTACCACAGTTGCAAGAAGAATCAAGGATTATTTATTTATTATCTCAACATGTGTCAGCCTGACTGCAACAAGAAATGTGCCTAAAGATCAAATGTATCACCAGATTCACTTCTTTTAATGCTCAAAAGTCAGAAATCGTAGTAAGTAAACACAGTTTTAAGGCAAATTGCAAACATTCGTAAAACTATTCACACATTGATAATCTGAGGCAGTCACCTTTTTAAGACCACAAACTATCAATGTGCTGTTACCACAACACAACCTACTACAAGAGAAAAACAAACACAATGCAACAACAACCCCACCTTTTTCAACCACTAAGCTAAACCACCAACTCTGGTCAATGATGTCCTCTTATTTTTATGCACTAATTTATTGTTCCCATGCACATTGACTTCGTGCGTACATTAATCTACAGAACTATAAAACCCCATAGGTACATTACATACAAAACAGGTATATGCAAATAAGTAGCTCTTTAAGCAAGCTGCTCCTAATACTTCTGTGAACACAGTCTCTCTTGGGGAACTGCATTTTGAAAATTAATACAAGCAATGTTGAAATTCCTGGCAAGCAATGCAGCAGTTAATGTAGCTGTCTCTCCACAAAGCCTGACACTGCAAACTTGAACACAGAGTTAAATCCTGATTTGAATGGGTTTTCATTAGCTAAACATGAAGAAGTTTCCCTAGTAAAGCTTGTAGAATTAGGACACAGTACTTTGAATTATTTTACTTTTCTTGGCATTGAAAAGTTATTTCTACTTGTCTGGGCAGATTTTTTGGGAAGCAACTACTTGGTAAAAATGAAGTCTAATCAGAGAATATTTGCAAATTTGAGCCTTGATTTCTAAGGGGAACAGGGATAGGCAGTCATCTTTTATCTGGTGCCTTCAGTATTGTGAAATCAGTGTTTACTTCCTTATGCATTATGAGATCTGAACCAACTTCATGCAATTCTCAATCACAAAGCCTTATCCCTATGCCAGAAAAATTATTGATGCAGTTCTTCTCCACTATTACCTCTCACAATACAAAAAATTATTTTTTGGAGCTAAGTTTAGCAACCCAGAGATTTCTTCGGGTTACGAAATAATTTGTATTATTTCGCTATCTCCATATTTAAGTACCTTATAATAAAACGAACAGCAACAAGTGAAGGGAATGAATTATACTGGAATGTTTAACAAGCTTGAAGGTTCTCAGGACATGGCAGGAGTTTACTTCTCTGGGCAGAGAAGAAATATTGTGTCTGTATTCAGGAATAATAAGCCAAACGTACACAGTAGAAATATAATGAGAACATCTCAAACATTGTTCTAATCAATTTTGAGAGACTAATCTGTCTTCATTCTTTTTTCTTATGTGTTCTATAATTATTTTTTATGGTGGAAGCGGAAGGAGAGAAATAGCATGGTACATTGTGGGGTATAAAATGACTGTTCTTGCTAAAGAAAAACAGAAACAATTTCTTAAATATCAGTCCAAGCATTTCACTTATGCCAGCTTAGCAATTCACCATTTCTACTGATGAGCTATTTCAAGATGTTTACTTTGTGATAAATTCCAAAATGCAAATTATAATTAATTTATATGCATTTTTCCTGAAACGAATAAAAAGATTAATTTAAGGTCTGCCAAATGAAAAAACACTTTAGATAGAACCTTTGACAGATTTCTTCATAAAAGTGAAAAAAAAAAGTGAAAAGATGACAATAATCTTTTTAGAGAACATAAAACACTTCAAGCCATTCAGCAATGCAGCAAATTTAAAGTACATGCACGATCAGTGAATATTAATCAGGAAAACATTCTAGAACAAAACTGTTTATGAATGGTATAACCTAACAGTAGCTTCAAGCAACAACAAGAAAAAAATTTGTTTTTTAAAAACAAAGGTTTGGATTTGCACAGGTAAATAATCCTAATTAGCATTCTAAACTATCAGCACTAAAGAATAATGCCCCAAATGAAAAACCACTTAACATAGCAAACAGCTTTGCCTGTAAGCAAAAGAAAAATAAAAATCCCAGATTGTTTCCCCTTTCTTCTCACATACTTCACTTGTTTGAAAACAGGTGTTATTAGATTACCAGTCACTTTCCTGTTTCCAAAGCAGAAAGACAGCTAGATCGCCTATCATGAAGTTGCTGCAACTCAGAAAGCAACACTGAATGGTTTCATCAAATGAGGTCCCAACAAGTACCAAACTTGAATGTTTGCTTTCAAAACATTATTAAGTGAATGAAATGAAAATGAATGGAAGGAGGAAAAAACCCAAACATTTTGCATGTACAAATCTGAATAACCTTGCTATGTTGGCATGCATACCCACCCTTCAGTTTGTGAGAGAGAGATGAAAGAGCAGAGGCAGGCCCAGCTACATCGCTACTTTTGTAAATACGCTCACGAGAAGCAAGGCAGCACGATGGAGTTTCTACAGTGGAAAACAGTTGCACAGAAGCAGCACAGATTCAATGGAAAAGCAGCAAAGATAAAAACAAGCATTTCAAATGATTTGCATCTCCATTGCTAAGCATTCTGAATTAACTGTTTATACTCCTACATTAGTTCTAAATGAGGAACAGTTACTACAAAATGCTTCCCCTGAGCTAAAAACGCTGTGGTTTCTGTATTAGTTTCTAGGATCTAAAAACGTAATGCCAATTAGATTTATGGCTTGTAAAAACCAGCAGTGCCTAGTTTTTGAACTGAACTCTGGTTTGAAATGTTAACTTTTAATCTGTAAATTCAGAGATGAATTACTTAGATCTTCAACTGGCCTTCCAGATGATCAATTTGTACATTCTTCAGTGAAAATTAGAGAACATCGAGACATTTGTGTTGGAAAGTCTCACTCATCACTGGAAAGAATGAAGAAAAATATATTAAACTGATCAAAACTATCTGTACCTCGACGATGTAATGTTTTGAAAAACTTCACTTATCTAATGTGAAGTTTCTCAATACAAGAGACATAACCAGCAGCAGAAGAGTGTCTATAAAACAGTATATACATAAAAAGAATCAGTATCAACTCTTGAAAACAGTTTTGCCATGAGAAAAATTCTGATGCAATCCAAGGTAATTTCAGCAGTCTACTGACACCAGATCTATTAGAAGTAGAGCTCCAAATGAAACTTGGAATGAGGTAAGACTGACTTTTAGTTTCAAGTCTATCGTTTTACTTTTCTATAATGTTTTAATTCTAATTTCAATTCCCATTTCTCCCTTTAGAAAGAAATAAGTCAAATTCTTACTGCATTAATAAAGTAATTAGCATGTTAGAAGATACCCTGTTTTAGACAGATCCCTTTATACAAATAGAATACTATAAGCATATTGAAAATAAGCAATTCAACTCTTTCACTGCTTGAGACATGTTCTGCCTGGTACTACATTTACTAACTTGTACACATACACACAGTAGCCCCCTCTGTCTTATCCAGTGAGCTATAGTCCTACAGACTCTACAAGGAGAAGGTGCTCTTCTGTTTGAAGAAAGAATTTAAAACAAGAGACTAACCTCTAATTCCTCAATACCATATCAGCATAGATTTAAGGACAATATTACCTACTTTTTCCACCTATAAACGATTTGGAGAGATCCAATACTAACTACACAGCTCTGAGTAACAGGATGTCACTTGACAATTTTTAAAGGTGAAATGCAGAAAAACACATTAGGAGCGCAAAATAGCAGTAGAGACAAACCTAAAAATGTCAATTTGATACACTAGCATTCCATCCTATGAATAAAGCAAAATCTTTACTAAATCCACTTTCATGAATGCACTTCATTCTTTCAGTTTATGACTGATAATATTTACATTTTATAATGCAACGTGGTGTATGTTGAACAATGTACTACTATTTGGTCATTTCAATGGGACAAACTTCCTTGCTGCCTGGGCAAACAATGGATAATTGGTCAGCCACAGGGACTGGTATTTTGATCAGGATTCCTTCTTTTTGAATCACCCTCAAAGACTACAAAGACAAGGCAAGGTCTGTCTCATGTCACATTTGAATGTGACAGCATACCTTTAGTCACACTTTTCCCTTCAACATGGAAATAGCTCCAGATTGAAAAGCTACACAATATGGAGACGTAAGACGCAGTTCAATTCCTATGGTAGGATACAGTATCCTAACAGCTGTGCCTAATTCCTCTGAGGAAACACTGGTAAATCGAACCAGGAGGGCAGGACATACCACTAACTGGTTCATATTAGCCTTTTTTACCCAAACTGTATAATAAACTGGTAAAATGTCACTGGAGAACAGAGATAAGCTAAAGTTTCTTCTGAAATGCCACTGCTTTTCTGCATGATGATGAAGGAAAGCACTGACCTGACTTTGTCATGCTGCCTAAGCAATGGATGTCTCTTCAAAAAGAATGCATTCCTCTTTCACTCACTGTTACTGACATGGAAGCTACAATACAGCTGTTAGCTGAATTTCCTCAAGTACTGCAATCAACATATTTTTTCAAATCCTGAAAATGCCATAGTTGGACAAGGGCTCTTTTTTTTTTCCTTTTTCTATAAGTAAAAGAATGTATTGAAGTAAAAAACGAATTCGAATATTAAATATTAAAAAAGGAGAAAAGTATTAGATACCATTAAAGTAGGGGAATAAGTGAGTGAATGAAAGCAAAAGCTGAAATGTGCTATCATCAGAAAAATATTAGCAAAATTCTTTACCCAAAGGTAGGGTTTGCAGGACCAACGCCTGAGCCACTTAAGTTTACTAACTGAATGAAGCATTCCTGTACTGCAAGGACAGGGAAAAAAAAAGAATTCTGTGATTTTGTAATTTGTAACCACAATTTTTGAAGATGCAATAAGCCAATTTCTAAAACAAACAAACAAACAAACAAAAAAACCCAAACAAAACCTTGACACAATTTGTGCTCTTCCACCAACCTTTACCATTCCAGTCCCTCAAGGATGGCTTTGGATTGACCTGGACAAACATATGCTTCATACCTCTCTTTGACTACAAAATATGGAAAGCCCAGGGTATGAAACCACTTAACTTACTGGCTCAAATTTTCAGAAATGATGCTTCAGCAATATGCAGCATATGAAAAACAGTTAAACCAGTTGTCCTTGGTTTAATTGATGATTAAGTTGTTTCAGCACAATATGGAAGAGATCAACATTACTTGGATGAGAGTATTCTCTCCTCTCATTTTACTGAAACACTACCAAGAAGGGTTATGTGCTCCACATGTGTGCTGGTCTTTTGTGCCCCCTCTACAGTTTAGAAAATGCAGAGAGAATCGCTGCAGCCAAAGCCAACAGTTCTAAATGCTCTTTAACTAGCACCTAGATGGGAAAGGAACAAAACCAAAAAGAAACCAGTAGCACAATACTGAAGGGATGTATCAGGGAACTCCTGACACGAATGACTGGAGCTGATCATACATGGCAGGATCATGTGCTGGGTTGCAGCTCCACAGCATGGACTGGCAAGGAAGCAGCCTGACAGGACACTCTACTGAACAGCAGCTCAGCACTGCAGCTTCTGCCTTGACCAAGATGAGTCAGGAGGCAGGAGCTCAGCAAGCTGCCAGGGCTGCAGTGGAAGTGGGAGAATGTGACAGATGACAAGTGGATCCAAAGCCTGTGTGGCCCATAAATCCATTCTTCATTTGCAGATGTGAGGACACATGGAATAAAGATCTAACACACTGGTGACTGCAAAATCTCACACTTCCCTCCCAAGTTCAGAGGCTCAACATCCAATTACCAAATTCTGGTAACTGATGCTGGACAGTATGTCAAGATCCCATTTCCCTGACTCGCCACATCTAAGGACTTATGATCCAGCACATACAGCTGAAGGTTGAGAAACAAGATTTTCCAATACTCTCTGGGTTTCCATGCTTGACACGTACTCAGAACTCAAGCAGAAATTTGAGTCTTCTGTGCTTTTTACCATGTTCAGAGACACATAAATCAGCAACCATTAATAATCTTGTGGCTATGGGAGGTTGCAGTCACAAGCAAATCTGCCACTGATGATCTTAGAAACTTCTCAGAAGGAAGTATAGGCAGGTTGAGACAGTTTTGGTGAAATATTCAATGAAGACAGATACATGAACTTGTAACCTTAATGGGAAAAAAATCCTTGCTAAGGTTTCAAGTCAATACAGCTGTTCCTTAATGCCATCTCTCTTAGCTTTTTTGCACTTTTAGCTGCATACATGACTGACAAGGAACTAAAACACGTGAGAAGAGCACTTTAATTTTGGCCATCCTTGCGGAAAAAAACCAATCTCTCAGGTTTTTTACCTTGCATAACCATGTGCGAAAATTAGCAAAAGGAATTAAGCAGGATAAAACAATCAATCCTTCATAAAATGCTGAGTAACAGCATTCCCCTTTCTTCTTTTATAATATCCCTTCTGCAACAAATTCTTTCACAAAACACACAGGGCAGATATTAGCTATGTATTTATGTTGTGAAAAGAATAACAGAGACACTATTTCTTCAAGCATTGTATCTGAGGAGGTGGTTGTCCCAAACTGTAGTATTTCCACAAAAAAAAAAAATAACCAGAAACTACTGGAGGATAAAAGGTTGTGACAAGCCCTTTCCCTCTTCCTTAAATGATTTTGGAAACCTAACCAAACTCCAGGTAGAGAAATAACTCCTAAAAATAATAATCCAGCTACAAACACTTCTGAAGGAAAACCACAACCTGCCACCAGCACAAAGTATGTTTACATGAGATCAACATTTTTCTTCCTATTATAAAAATCTAATTTAAGGAAATAATTCTAGAGGACATTCAGCATGATCCTAATTTTCCTCAGAATCATGCTTCTAAATCAAATTTCTCCCCATGGATGAACAGAAAATGCATGTGGTAGGCTGAACCGTTTAGGCTGACTTTCAGTCAAGACCAGTATTTAGTACATCATCTGTGCAGCCATGGAAATCTAGGCTGGCACAAGTTTTTTCAACTACTAGACTGTAAGTCCATTTAATACAGCACTTATTAACTATAAACATCCATTTTAATTTCAAAATCTGACTTTACTGCAGGAAGCACTTAAGGACAGACCACATAATTTGAAACTAAAACTAAGCAAGCCTGGGGCAAAAATTCAATTGACTTGATATGGACCCTTGGGATATGCTGTTTAACGTATTTAATTTTTAATTACACATTTGATAACAAGAGGTTATAAAGTATCGTGTACCGAATCGCAGTGAGCGCAACAGTATACCAATCCTGGTTGATGATTTCTGCCCTACTGGAAGGGCACATAACCAAATCAGTTGAGACTTTATACTAAGGTAAAATCCCCAATCAGACACAAAGTTTTCCCACTTCAATCATTCTTTGGTACCAGCACTCCCCCTTTCTGGCAAAAGACTTCCTTTTGAATCAGGGATCCTTATTAGAACACAAAACATGGATGTAGCTTAGTGAATACAGTTCATCTACATCTGTTGGACAGACAAATCCATTGAGCAAGATCTTGTTGGGCAGACAAAAATGCTGACAGCTTTTCTTTTCATACAGTATAGGTCTAAATGCTAACGAACAAATCATCTGAAATAAGACAGGGTTATTTTTGATGCAAAGCTGAATAAGAAACTCTGACTTTACTACTCTGAACAAGACAAGAGAACTAAGAGTGATGGGAAAGAATATATAATTGACAAATCATCAATGAGGATGTGCTGATGCCACTGGCAATCAGTTGTTTTATCTGAGTAATTTTTGGAATGTTCAGATTTCAGGAAGCTGATTTAAGTCCAGAATAACCACTGAAGATCACAGTCTGAATATTTCAGATAGTCTTTATAAAAGTGCTTTGCACATGAAGCACTTCACTGTCACTTCAATAAACTGAGCTGGAAAGACCCAGGACTGCATGGACAGAGACTGAACTGACCGACAAGGTCCCACAAGAAAGAACTGAGGCACTTCAGAAGGACAGTTTATTGGAGACAGAAGAAAAGTAGAATTCTTGTGACCCATGCTACAGCTGTTCTATATATCAGAAAGAATTTACTGTAGTATCAGTTTTCCATCACGAATGATGAGCTTCTGGTTTTCATTAATCAAAACCAAAACAGTTTCTTGTCCTCCTCCTAGTAATCAGGTTAGCTGGTATTCACCTCAAGGTGCAAACTTTCATGTCCATGCCAATCCTATGAGCAACCAACAGAAACCTACCGAAACCTTTCTTATGAGTAGTGCCAAGCTGTTCCAACTGTCCAGCTACAACCCTAAAGTTATGAGCAATGACAAAACCCAGAATTTAGGGGGCAAGAAAAGTTAATACCTATGAGCTTACTGCAGTGCATTCGTGATGCTAAAAGAATTATCAACCACTTGTACTATATAAAATATTTACCTTAATTATGAACCCAGAGTTGCATACAATATTGGAAATGCACTTTCATGACTTATCTACATTGAACGACACATATAAAAGCATTGTCAATATAAAAATTAAAGTCGAACAAGTATACTTCTTTAGGAGCATTACCTCACATGCTTCTGAATGATGAAAAACTTAAGAAAACCAAAACCAGAAAGGTGCATGGAGGGATGATTAGTAGCTGGTAAGCGACTGAGAATAGCAATGTCAAAGCTGCAGAAATGGACTGATGAGGCAGGTAAGGCTGACAAACTTACTCTGAAGCTGTGGCTGAGGCTGCTGGAAGGAAAGGGGTTGTCCGAACACAAATGGACTGTGGACTAGGGAAGAGGGAGGTTTTGCAGCTTGATCAAAGATGGAAGGAGCTGGGAGGTTTGGCCGTGACTGAATGGAATTCAGTATGGCACTCAGTTGGTCACCTGTAGTGGGTAAAACAATCAAAACTACAACCTGTTACCTGTCATTCTCCAGAAAGGCAGAGTAAAATGGTGCTCAATTAAGGTTTAAATGATGATAATAGAGAAAGCTCATAAATCTTATTTAGCCACATACAACTCTGGTTGTGGCTAAACATAAAAATATCACTCCATGCATGGCAATAAAATTACTGAAAAGTACAAGCAGGGTTTTTAAGGATCATGGATATTTTACTGCATTTTATTCAAAACATTTCAAAATAGAGAAGTATATTTGCCTTGCTAAAAAATGAAGACAGCAAAAAAAAAAAACCAAAACAGAAATCCCTAGCATTTCCAATAATACACACATGCAACAGAACATGCAGAAAAAGATTAGAAAAACTGATGAGAAGGGAAAGCTAACACAAAATTGGGCTTTGGCTAATGTATTTCTGTGCCAAGGCTTTGGTAAATATTTGTTCGCTTTTGCAAATACCTTTATTCTGTCATACTGTTTTTCAAGATCAGATTGAAGAACATTTAAAAATACCTCCACAAATACCACTAAGGAACTGGTTTTCTGAAGAGCTATATACATTTGTTTTGAAGCAAATGAAAGCCTTCAAAAAACTAGCATGTCAAAAATAGAGTTAATTTCTGAATGCCAATTCTCAAAGGACTCAGTGTGAGCATTAGAAATACATGATGCCTCAGAAAGAAGGCCACACCATGTCATAAATTGAAGTATACTTAGTAACATGAGACAGCAAGAGTTTGAGAGAATCTCAGATTTGAACCATCACCAGGCAAATCCTAACAATGTCACTTTATTCTGCAAATTCCTCTCATTTTGACAGCATTTGACAACACCTAGTAAAAAACCTATCAGCTAACACAGAATTTACGACTCACTAAGTGTACAACATTTTTGGATGATTATCAACTGTGTTTGCATGGAATCAGAGAAAGACCAGTGGGTGTATGAAACCCTGTGTTACCTAAGAACACCAGCATTAAATATAACTCCTTGATATTTTGGTTTCAAAATTGAGCAGACAGAAATACCAGAAAATTGCTGGAATGCCCTTCTAAGTAATCATCCACAGCAATCAATAATCAATTTTATTTCACTGTTTTGAAAATGGCATACCTAAAAAATGCTGGAATCTATACTTGGGCAGCAATCATTCCTATCTTAATAACCTAGATGTGATTGAGCAATCTGCTCTAGTGGGAGGCATCCATGGCAGGGGGGTTGAACTAAATGATCTCTAAGGTCCCTCCCAACCCAAATCATTCTGTGATTGACAAAGCACTATTATTCCTAAATACAAAATGCCTATTTCCTAAAATGAGTGATTATTTTAAAGGGAAGAACCTCTGAGAAGGGGTTGAGTCATCTGCCCACAGTAATAAAATATGGAAGTGGGTAAGGCCATTCATGAGGTATATTAAAAACTTGCCTGCAACGTAAAAAGCTGGAAGACAGAAGACATAGCTAAATCAAACAGAATGATTGTGGGAGTTGTCTTCTGTCTTGCAGGTAATACTGTAAACGTAGACCTGTAACAGGGGGATCTTTACATTTGACCAGTTGTTTGAAATGCTCATAGATGGTGACTGAATTTTCACTCAAACTAGGGCATCCCTACATGAGTTCTTGTAACAAACAAGCACCTCCAAAAGAAGTGATTTGTTCAGACTCTCCCCTACAAGATTGCGTTCGTGCCTTCCATTTTTTACTTTCCACAGAACTCGCAGCTTCTGAGACCTGACAGTACAAAAGACTGCATATAAATTATGATACACCTGAAGAACTCTATTTGGGGAAAATACTATCATTATTCTTTCAATATAGTTGCCAACAGCTCTTGGGCAATTTTGAAGGAAATACAGTACACAGAATGAATAGAATCATGTAGCTGAGTTGTTCATTCACACTAAACATCACAGCTTGTGGATAAGTTGAGAAAATAACGGGTATAAAATGGTATGGAATTCAGTGACAGGAGGAGCTTCCAAACTTTCTGTAACTGTATTATCTGGAATAAACACCTTTGAAACTGCTTCAGATATAGAAAAGAGAATCACAATGTCTTCAGAAACTACGACGCCTGTTAATACAGCATATTGATCTCTGAGATCTTATCTTTGGACAACACAGAAAAAAAAGTTGTTTTCCTAATATGCTTCTTCAGAAAAAGAATAGGTCATACTTTTGCACTATTATAT